ATTGCGAGAATTATGTCACAACGTGTGACCTGTGCCAAAGAGTCAAAGGCAGCAACAGGCCAAGCGATGGACCGCTACAGCCGCTACAGATCCCGCGACGCAACTGGTCAAGTGTGAGCATGGACTTCATTGTCAGCCTACCTAAGACAAAGGACGGATATGATGCAATCATGGTCGTCGTTGACCGCCTGTCCAAGATGGCACACTTTGTACCAACACACAATGCCGCAACCGCCCAGACAACCGCCGACCTGTATTTCAAGACCATCTACCGCCAACATGGCCTGCCCGAGTCCATAATATCAGACCGTGATCCGAAATTCCACTCTGCATTCTGGATGGCACTGTGGAAGCAAACTGGAACGCAACTCAACATGTCCACTGCCGGCCATGCACAAACTGATGGACAGACTGAGCGTGTGAACCAGATACTGGAGTCAATGCTGCGTGCGACGTGCAACAATTACCAAAACGACTGGAACCAACACATAGTGCATGCAGAGTTCGCCTATAATAGTCGCAGCAACAGCTCGACACAGCACAGCCCATTCTATGCAAATTATAGCTTCCAACCATTGAACGCCGCCACCATCGCCTTCAACATGGAAACTGCTGAGCCCAATACCGACGCCGACGATACAATCCTGAAGATTAAACAGATTAGCGAAATAGTCAAGGAAAACATCGAATTCGCACAGCTACGCATGATCAGAAACCACGACAAGAAGATAACCTCACCCGACATTGTGCCAGGCGATGAAGTAATGATCTCGACGAACTTTACAACGCCACCTTACCTGCGTAACCGGTCCAGCAACTCACTGCAACATAAATGGGCTGGGCCCTACAAGGTCGAAGAACAGATCGGCCGAAATGCATTCCGCCTCAAACTCCCACTCGACATGCGCATTCACCCGGTCATTTCGTGGTCACACCTAAAAAAATACCATGCTGCCGACGATCACCGTGCCGCACTCCGCTCTGAACCACCACCTGTAGAAGTTGCAGGACACCTCGAGTATCAGGTCGAAAAGATTGTTGACGACCGTGTGTGGAGGCGAAAACGCCAATACCTGGTGCAGTGGGAAGGATATGGAATAGAAGGACGAACATGGGAGGACAAGAGTAGCGTGGATGAGACAGAAGCATATGAACGATATTTAACCGCGCGCGCTATCGCCAAGACCGACGGAGTCTGATCTTAAGTAGGGGCGAATGTGACATCAGAAATGGGGGCCGAGTCACGTGACAGCGCAGACGCGTAAAATATGTTTATGATATTTTACGCGTACGGCGAATTCTGAATAGTGAGCTCTTTAGCTCTTTCCGTAGTCTCATTTCTATTAATATATATTCTAGCTAGTCCAAATCGCATTACAGGGGCCCACAGAACATTTGTTCAATAGGTATCCGGCTGGTGACACGCCTAAGACCTGAAATCAGAGGCAGCGGAATAGGAGAAGGGCAGGGTTTACCCATATACCTTCTCCAGATTGCCAGCGTCTGGATGGGCTCCTCATAAAATCACAACATGGGCATGGCTAGAAAGAGTAGCGCATGTACCAAACCCAAAGACATGACAACCAGTTGCAAATATCTCCGAGCGTCCAACGACATTTTGCACTCGAAGCTCTATGAGCTCCAAACAGCTATCATTTGCATGGTGATGATTTTTAAATGGCACTACTTTTAACTGTGCTAATTTTTGTCTTTTCCGTTCATCATGGCAGAAAATAAAACCACTGTACATACCACACCCAAAATTTCCATTGAAAAGTACAATTACAAAAATTAGACTGAAAAAGCCAAGAGAATGAATTTTGTAAATATCGCTCGAAAAAATCAGATAATATTAGAATAATAAATTGCATAATTTTAGTTTGCATGCACTTTTGCAGCCGCTGATTTAGTCTGTGTTTTGGCTGATCATGTGCAACAGCCATCAAACAGAAACACATGTACAACTATTGGGCACTTGTCCAGCTTAATCTGCGTTGTGCTTAATTTGCTGTTTAGTTGATAAGAGAGCGTTGGTAAAAATAAATATAAAATAAATGACAGCAAGCATACAAACAATGTGGCTGTATTGACATTCGCTTGGGATTGCGATTGGTATTGGAGACCATTGCAGCAAAAAGCTATCGCAGCAAAAAAATGCTTCAGCTTTTTGTTAAGAAAAACAGGAGATATTGGAGAGTGTACAGCTAATGATACATTCAATTAGGAGTTATTCGTTAGGATCGAGATAGGCATATTCACTGTGTAGATAATCTATGGCCCCATTTATACAGCCTGCTCTGCAAAACCACATCTAATGCAGCTCAAAAATAGCAATGTTAATGTAATGCTGCGCAGCCTGAAGACATGGAAGTAGATGTCGAGGTTGAGGATCGTGAAACAAGGTTCCATCTGCATGCCGGTTGATAGAGTACTAATTGGATCATGCAGGTGTAAATTAGGGAGGCATAATAATGATGTCTAGACATGCTCCCCATTTTGCAATGCACACGCGTGAGTGCACATACACGAAAACCACAACACTGACTTGCCAAAATACCGGTCTTCTTGCAGAAAAATTAGTTTTTTTCAACGGAGTGCACAATTGGCAATGTGCACAACAAGGGCGACAAGGCACATATACAGGACAAGGCGGGCGCTAGCAACATTTTATAAAAGTTAGTAATAAAACTCTTTGTAAAATCACCCCTACTTTTCTAACACTAGACAACTAGTGCTTTTCACACCCCCTCTTACATAGCATTATTACAAAAGAAATCAAAAGTATAATTAAGGTCGGGTTTGGCACACGCATATGTGTGTGTGTATGCCATCCTCGACCCTGCCCTGTCTTACACACTAGCCGTTATAATCACTAATGCCGAGTACTGACTTTTCTGCAAGCAGCTCAAATATTGAGTGTTTTGGTGTTGCAATCTTTGTGCATGCGTGCATGTTATAAAAGGGCGATCATATTTGGATAATATTATTGAATCCCTGATCTAATACTCTATAATCTTCTTTGCCTTCTATCAGTTGGCATGCAAAATAAAAGCAGTCACTTGAATCTCAATCCCAACATTCACATCCATGTTATTTGGCTGTGCAACATTGTGTGTAAAGGCTAAAAAGGTTGTTTCAATAAAAGCCAAGTTGGGCAGAACAAAATAGAATAGAATAAATAAAACCAATGAAGTAAAGAATACATATTAGAAATAAATAAATGGCTGTAAATATGTCCATTCATTCTAAGCCAAGAGGAGGGAGTAGATGCGAGTGTCATAAAACTATTTTTCTAACAAGAGCCGAGAGTGTGTAATGCACAAATTATGCGAATGCTTATTAAAATGTTTGCCCCAATAGCTCCTGAACTGTAAAACCCATTTGAACCTGGTCATCCTTGCAGACACACGCGGGGATGACATCAACAGCGCCCAGCTCCAGCGACTGCCCGCGTTGCTGCCTCCTTTTCCCTGGGCGCGCGCATAGCATCCACCAGCACCTCAACGCTACCGATCCAAACCACCCTGCCGACCCGTTGCGGCGTCATCACCGGCACTTACAGAAATACAACTATCCTCAACCGGCCCCCCTCTACTGCTGAACTACCCAGAGCCTGTGCGACTATCAGCTGCAGCATCTCTCACTGTATAGCCGTATCGAGCACCAGCTCAGACGCAATATCCTGCAGCTTAAAGTTGTGCGACTTCAGCGCCAATTGTGCCAAGGAATTAACCATTTCGGGCATCTGAATGTCCAACGCCGCCTCACTGTCTGCACTCCCGTCAGGATTAGTCCCAGCATAGCAGGTGTGTTGCCATTTCTTCTTTTGTCGGTGTGCGTAGCATAAATCTAACCCGTACTGCAATTGATCCAGCAGATGCAAAAGTACCCGGTATGTGCCGAGTGCTGTTCCGACGCTAATTGCGAGGTAATACCGGCTATCATCTATGCTAGCAAAAGAATATTGAAAGTGTGTAAAAAATACTAAATTGTAAAATGCAAACTGTGAATTGGAAAGGAAAGAAAAAATAAAGTAAATTAAGAAATAAGAAAGAATAACGTTAAATTGAAATCATTTGGCAAAATAGCAGAAATCGAAAATTATGGATGCAATCAACCTTCAGTAAAATTGGCCAATGTGCGAGTTTAAAAGTATTTGTTGTTTACAGTTAAAGTGATCGGTGGATCGGTGAATCTGTAAACAAGAGGTACAGACAAGAGTTAAGATATTTATATTTTACTCATATTTTCTTCAAGTTTAATAAAATTTTAATTCTTTGCAGTTGATTTTTTGGGTCGTAAAAAGATTTATTAAAAACAAAAAAACCTAAAGTGCTAGCTTCTTGAATGACCCAGCATTGATCTCGTCCTCAGCTGGTCGCTTAAGCTGGCCACTATCCTCTTTGAGGAGCTCAATTGCCTGGGGATGCATAAATCTGGGAGCAGCATCCCAGTTAGCCTGTCGTTTAAATGTACTGTCCCACCAGAGCTGGTGGCTAATGTACTGATTTCCCGGTTCAAATAAGAACCGGCGCATTGAGTGGAATAGATCCCTGAATATCTTGCTTGGATTTCCTATCCCAAACAACTCCAGATACTTTTCCTCAACCATCATGATGCTGTACCGACTCAAAGCCAGGCTTTGACTGTCCAGAAATTTGAAGCCCTGAACGTCATCTCTCTTAGTATCGGCTGAGCGCACTGCATCCATAACGACATAGAAAACACTCTCCAGGTCATCAAGGATTCCCCGGATGGGGCTGCTGCTGAGCATGGGAATTCCCATGAAAAGCGGCGTCCCTGTAAATGGGTCCTTGGCCACCTCCACTTGTCCCACTGTTGTTGCATTGAATCCCCACTGTTCGGCAACATCAATGTGATTGGTTGAGTTGGGTCAGTGTCCCTGGCAGCATCTCAGCAGTGCCCCAGCCAATGACCTTGGCACAGCCCCAATCAATGACATACACCTTGTCGTTTTGACGCACACATTCCCTGCTGAGATGTCCCTGTGCAGGACACCAGTGTCATTTGCCTGGGCAAGGCACAGGGTCAGCTGCTTGACAAAGCCAGGAACCAGCTCGCTTCTGATTGTCAGTCTTGACTTTCAGATACTCGCTATTGGCTGGCCACAGTACTCCATGAGCACAAACTCCAGCCGGTATCCATTGAGGTGTGATGAGCAGGCCCTCGAAAAGATCTCGGAATACCTCGACTGGTCTCTTGTTGAGGATGGCGTATGCGGCACCCTCGGGCAAACGATTGACTGGGGTCCAGGAAAGCTTCAGCACAGCATCATGCTTCCCATTGAATTTCCCCCGAATAAATGGACATGGCGCCAATCATGTATGAATAACGCGCTATTGTCTCCTTGATACAAAATAAAGCAGCGCCATCCTTGACATCCTTGACACCTGACATCCTGGGAAACCGAATATAAGACTTCGATCTTCGAATCGCCCTTGCTCTCCACATCGACTTTCTGCGAAAAAATGAAAGAGCTAGATTCTTCGAGACATCGCAGAAATGTCCGAAGATGTTCGACTCAAGAGTCAGCAGGAACCAGAACCGCATGAGGCATGTCTGGATATCTCAGCTCCGTCAGACGTACACGACGTATCAAAGCATAGCTGGCCAAGCTCGATATATACAGCCGCACGATAATATGCATGAAGCGTCAGGAGGTGCCCATGGAGGTAGAAGACAGGCGCAAACGTGCGGGTTGCTTGCTTATCGTTGAGCAAATGGCCATAATCTGCGAGCTGGCCGCGAGTATCCTCTATGGTCCGCTGAGATCTGGATCTATCTTGCCTCGAGTATAGCATGGATGGAATGAGCGTTCTCCTCTGGTAGTTCTGTAGTAAAACGCGATGTCTGGCTTGTGGGAGTCTTTGATATAACCTTGCTGATGGTCCTTCAGCTTAAGCTTGCAGTCTGGGATTAGAGTTCCGCCTGCTGGAATATCTTATTTGCGTCATGAACCACATCGACCATCTCGTTGAAGAGGAGGATAAAATATTGACCAAACGAGCTTCCTTAGTCAACCCCATCAATTTCCGAGTGTTTTGAAAACGTCAGCAATGGAGCAAATCTGTCAATTCGAACGCGTGTATTGGCTACGATGCATTTGCCATCAGCCACTGGCGACCCCTGGCTATGCTGAGGAAAGATTGGCCAATCCTTGATGAACCGTTCATACGCTCTTCACACCCAGCGATTCGACAAAGGCATGAACAGATAGTTTTTATGTTATCGCCAAGGCATTTCAGCAGCCGCTGACGGCGCTTATCGCGTACTTCGGGGGGCTCCGATTCCCCGGGTGGCAGTTCCTCCTTTTTTGATTTTTGGGGCGTTTGGAAAGTGCCGCCTGTCTTGCTGCTCTAATAAAAAAGAAAACAAAATGTTTTAAATTAGTGTCCGAATTAGTTTTATATGCACGCAGAATAAACAACAACAAACAATTCATCAATATCATAACAATCCGTTTATATTCAAGTACTTACGCCTATTTGATTCGGCGGGGTCTTATTCGGAGGAGCTAGCTCAGACATCATTGAGAGAAAGGGAAAGGGAAATAGAAAGAGAGGGGAGGGGAGAGAGAGAGAGAGAGAGGTGTGTGTGTGTGTGTGTGTGGTGTGTGTGTGTGTGTGTGTGTGTGTGATAAGCACTGAGGTATGATAAAAGTAATAAAAAGTGAAGAAAAAACAAATTGAACGAAATGATGCGAATTGAGAAAAAAAAAGCAAATATTAAAAGTAGAAGCAAAGGTGGAAAGTTGCAAAGGTGAAAGTTTGTTGCGATAGATTGCACCAAAAACAAAAAACAAAAAATTTAATATAAACAAAAAACTTTGAGCTTTTCATGCTTGCATTTGGTTGGCTGAAATATGGAAACAAGAAATAATTATATTTACGGATTAATTTCCAATCGGCATTGTTCTTTTTCCTTGCGCATTGATTTTGAGCTTATATTGTTTCTTTTGGGAGCATGGTGGCCCTGCCATTCAATGCTGTAAAAAATATGTGCTTCCCTGATGCGTACACTGAACCAGAGATGCGTTTATGCCCCATTGCCTGGCTGTCAGGCCAATTGAGACACAGAGCCACATACTTCATGTGTCCACAACAGAAGCATAAAATTATGAATGCAAGAGAACTTTGACTTGGATCTTTAAGACCCAGCTGCAAGGTCACTTGGCTGAAATGGTTAACAAACTTCAGGTGCATCCGGCACCGATAGATGGCACATTGGAGAAACTCAAGATACATGTGGACCCATTACCAGGATAAGAAGCTGGACCTGGGTATGAGTCGTAGTTGGCAAGAGCTGACAGAGTATAGGTACACAACGCTGGTCAAGAAAATTCAAGGGAATCAAGCAAAAACAAGCAATGGTGTTTGTAAATGAGATTGTACATAATCAGCAGGGCTAGTACAAGAGACAGTGTGAGCTTGCATGTCGAGCGGGAAATGAGGGTATCCTTGACGCCTAATAAATGCCGATTGTTGATAAGAACTCCAATCTCGACAAACATCCTGAATACTAACTCTATGACAAGAAGATGATGATGGCTTGCCAAAGTGGCTGCAGACGATAGCAATGAGGGCAGGATATATGCACACTAGCTATATGGCCACGATTGATGCTTTAGTTGGCAAATTGAGTGCTTGGGTTTAATTTTACTAACGCCTCAGCAGACACTTCCACCGCCAGAAAATTAGACACAGCTCTGAGTAACCAGAGGCATGTAGCCAGGTTCTAAAATAGGGTTCAAGATGGGTACGGTGCTGCAGTAGAAAATCAATTTTATTCATTAATTTCAGTTTTTATTTTTTGCTGGAATCTGGGAGTTCTATGAATGTTCAGTGAAGGTGAAGAGATAAACACTATGTATATATAATTATCTATTGTAAAAGCGCTATACATTGATGGAGTGCGACAGTACATTTATGTGATGTGTGTCCCTGTATGACTATCAATTGAGTGTTTGTCTGGCTAAACAACCAAGGCTGGCTAATCAATTGATCGCGACCAGCTAATAAAATATAATTGCAAGTTTGCAGAACTTCTCGGTTTAAAATATTAGTTCAACAATGGCGCTGCAAATAATTCATTTAAAACAGGCTTAATGTGTTCAAAATTTACATGTTAAAATACTATTTTAATAGATGCATGGTAGTTTCTATTTTTAAAAGACAAATGTCATTTTGAGCTTGCCATTCTTAACCACCCTTGCCAGTTTAGTCGCATTGTTTACAATGTTTTGGAAAAATTCACAACGGGCTTTCAACAAAAAATTTACTCGGACAATCCTAGTTCACATTTTGCACATGCTTATTGTCATTTTAAAAATATATATTTGAACAAAATAAACTAAAAGAAAGCTAAGGGATGAACAGCCTCTACTGTTCATATTCACTAGTATTTATGCGTGCGTATAAATTCCCACATATCCAAGTAGGGAATTGACTAGCGATTGATTCATTAATCAATTGCCAGAGGCAAGCCACAATCCCTTGTATCATAATGTAAATAAGTTGCATATGCATATTTTTACTTTGACTGATAAAATGTTATTAAGCGCAAAATTAATCACATATTGTTCATCCAACATACCAGACAAGGACTATAATTACTAACAAGTGTTGGCTGTGTTGCTAGATTAAACAACAGTCAGCAATGTCAGGCAGTGCTGTAACGTTCTGTGTGGTCACAGGTGTACATATATAAAACTAAATTTAACATTTGAATAATCTCTGCAGCATGTATTGTTAATATATTTGGCCATGTGCAATTGTAGAAAACATGTTACAAATAGATATTGTTGCACAGACTGAAGATATGGAAGTGGATGTTGAGGTCGAGAATCGCGAAGCAGGTTTCCACCTGCGTGCCGATTGATAGGACGCTAATTGGATCATGCAGGCGCAAATTAGGGAGGTATTACATTGATGCCCAAACATGCTTCCCATTTTGAAATGCACACACATGAGCGCACACGCACGAAAACCACAACATTGACTTGCCAAGATACCGGTCTGCTTGCAGAAGACCCAGTTCTCACCAACGGAGTGCACAATTGACAATGTGCATAACAAAGGCGACAAGGCACATATATAAGATGAGGCCGGCCCTAGCAGCACTTTAGAAACATTAGTAATAAAACCTTTTATAAAATCACCCCTACTTTTTAACACTAGGCAACTAGTGCTCCTCACACCCCCTCTTATTATAACAATATAATCAAAAAGAATATTTATTTCTTCCAATGAAAAAGGATTCCTGGCTGCCCGACAGCCACCATTTTTATGTTTTCCTTTATATATAAATAAAACATAATAAAACCTTCTCATCGTTGCTCCGAATGCCACACGCATAATCCATTAATCTTAGGCAAAATATTTGTTTACGCGACATCATGTGCCTCAACTGTGACATAAAATTTATTTTTTATGAATAACAGAATTAAGTAATCCATATGTTTTTTGATTGCATAGGTACTAGCCGCAGTATATCAGCGCATAATGATATATTTTATCTGGCTGAGGTGAACTACCCTGGTATGCATGCTGCTGTTGTCGGAACATCCAGCGACTTTGTGGGTGTGGTCATTCTCACCACATGAGCTCAGTTGAGCTGTGAGCTCGCGAGTTAAGACAATGACAAACATGAATTAATGCAGTAGCGGCCAAAATAGCATTTAGACATTATAGCTGCTTAAAAATGGCTTTAGGGGAGGCCCAATAGGAGGTGTCCTCAGCATTTGTTTTAATAAATATGTATTAGTCACTATTTATGGCGATTGCCATAGTGGCCACTGGCAACCCACTCATTCACTTTTGAGACAACAGTTGTTAAAACGTGGCAAAAATTAATGGGTGTAGTGCTTGGACAAGACTGCTTTTAGGAATCCCAAATACTCCCTTGCCGATATCACCGACAAAGCTTTTTCATAAATAATTCATTTTACAAAGTCCAACAATCGAGCATCTGATCAGACACATGGACATGCATGCTTCTCTTATTGATTGATGGGACATGTCTGCAAAAAAGACATTTACTTTTAATACTATTTTTGGTCACCTGTTGACATGTAGGCGAGCACATTGCTTCCGGTATATTTGAATTATTTTATAAATTCTGTTTAGAATTCTTGTTAGTTGGCCTATTTCTCCCTTTGTCCACCAGCTACACAAAGAAAAGATGCCAAATTATCATTGTGGAATATTGGCATGTGCCAGTGACAGCTATTTTCTATTAGTGCGCTATTTTATTATTGCTGTAGCATGGTGGTCTTAAAATATTATACTCCATTTTTGCATTATTTGTGTGCTGGTGCAACACCCTCGCTGAGCATATATAATGTATGTCTTATTCTCGCCCACCTTTTACATTAATTTACAAACTCGCCAACCTTAAGCACTTCTAGCATTCACCAACACTTAAACCAGCAATACCCGAACAGTATTACTCTCTTTTATTTTACTCAATTTGACAATGCGTTTTTCAGTTGTTCCCCTTCTTCTATGCGCCGGCGGTGCTTTGACAGTGCTCGCCCACACCCACATGCGCAATCTCATTATTGATGGCGACGTCAAAACCCGCGGGAAATGTATTATTCCATACAAGACCAACTTTTCCTTCCCTACCAAAGATCTCAGATCGGCTGACCTGCAGTGCAGGTCCAGCACGATGGACCTCAGCGACGTTGAAAGCTGCCCTGTCAAGGCTGGCTCAACCATCACCATGCAGTGGCGTCAGGGCGAAGAAAACGAAGGAACTGTAATCCAAAGACAGCATGTCGGCCCCTGCATTGTGTACATGGCTCGCATTAACCCTGGCATCTCGTCGTACTCTTGGTTCAAAATCTTTGAGGACGGTTACAACCAGAAATGGTGCGTTGAAAAGCTCATCTCTAACGGCGGTAAGCTCCAGGTCAAGATTCCCGAAAACATAAAGCCCGGAGAGTACCTTCTGAGAGGCGAGCTCATTGGGCTCTCGGAGGCTAGCAGACCATACGGCAAGGACATGACGTCCGGTGCTCAATTCTATGCCAATTGTGCTCGTGTCCAGGTTTCAGGAACCGAAAGTGGAGTGCCAGACAACTCACAGATTGCCTTCTTCCCCGGATATTACGGAACCGAGCAGCCCGGCATTCTTTTCGACATCAACAAGTCACCTATCAACTATACCATTCCGGGCCCAAAGATATTCAGCTAAATCAGGGATGGTTCTAGAAAAGGATATTTGTGCTGCACGAGTTGTAGTTGTCTTTGATTTTTCGATTATTCTTTACTCGCATGCCTCCCCTCACTTTACGCGCGCTCTGAAAGCAAAGTCGAGCACGATTAAATGAACATCTAAAGCCGCGCACAAATACCTGATCTGTTATTAACTTATATATTACTGGAGGTGCTGCCGGCTTTTTGCTATTTTTGTTCATTGAAATCAAATGAGGCAGTTTTATATCTTCATTCATATTTATTTTTCATGGGCATTGTTTTGTGCTTTTTCAGACATTTTGCTAAATAAATACATCTATATACAATTTGTTTGCTTGAAGGCACCACAGCCAACCGAATATTTTTTTGTAGTCTGAAATTTTTATTTATTTTTCTCAAACATATAAGCGGTTGCACTAACGCCGTTAGTAGGTTGGCTTGTTGTTTGGCTGTTTGAAATGTTGACCACATTAGATTTACTACACGTGAATGAAAATAAAAAAACGAGGCAAGCCTGCGCGCATGATTTATTTATACGCGTCGATTCAATTAGCAAATGCAAATAATTATAAAAATGAGGAATGCGCTCATATACACGTGTTTAAACAGTTTGCCTAAAATGTATGTTAATATTTTTAAGTGTTCGGAGCAAATATGAATTGAAAGCAAACAAGTACCATGACGCAGATTGCCCATATGATCATTTATTATTTTTATTGCTTTGACACAAAGTACATTAGTTGTTTCTTTTCAGCGAGCACAAGTTAGACAATTATTTTTTGCCAACGTGTTTGTTTATTCAGCTTAAACAGACAATTGTTTTAAAAAGAGTACTTGTGCTAGGAACAAAAATTAAGATTGAAAGTGTACAGACTGAAGATATGGAAGTGAATGTCGAGGTTGAGAATCGTAAAACAAGCTTCTATCTACATACCGATTGATAGGGTACTAATTGGATTATGCAGGCGTAAATTAGGGAGGCATAATAATGATGGCTAGATATGCTCTCCATTTTGCAATGCACACGCATGAGTGCACACACACGAAAACCACAAAATTGACTTGCCAAGATACCAGTCTGCTCGCAGAAGAACTAGTTCTTGCTAACGGAGTGCACATTGCCAATGTGCACAACAAAGACGACGAGACACCTATATAAGATGAGGCCGGCCCTAGTTCTACTTTCGATTCCCTTGGTAATAAAATCTTTTATAAATTCATACTCCCACCTTTTTAACACTACTACCATAGTGCTCCTTACACCCCCTTTTACATAACATTATTTATTTTAATTTTAGGGTTCCGAGGTTTTGGAATCAAGATTTCCTGAATATTTATATCTTTAAGATCCGGAATCGCTCCTGCTTAATTTTTAAGAATGATTCTGTATTATCTGGAAGCCCCTCCTAATATTATAGTTTTGCATGTTTGCTCGCTTGATATCAGAAAAATATAATGCAAGAGGCAATTGATAAAATTAATTAAGCGCACAATGGCATATATGGCATCCATACTAGCGCGAAAGCGTGCCCTCCTCCCACTTGACCATGCAGTCCAGGCCGACTTGGAATAGCCAGTTGCTCAGGCCAGCGGGCGGCGGCGCATTTGCATACTTTGACTTTGCCGGTCGCAAAGGCTCCATTACTTCATCGCGCCTGGCCGCCGTTGCCGCAGACGAGGGCGAGGACGCACTCGAGTATGAAGGCGTATTCGACACTAGTGTTGCCGGGCCGTTATTATTGCTTCTGGTAGAAACAACCTGAGTCGAGGGACGAAACGGCGTTGGATCCTGAGTGCTCGTAACGACCGGCAAATCATTAGTGCTAGTGACTGTGGCAGAAGCAGCATTGGTACCGCGAACAGACATATTCCACTCTTGCTCGCGCAGTGATGTTAATGTGCGAATCGCCTCTTGGCGAGCCTCCCTGCCAGCGCGCGGGTTGTGCAGGATGCGCTCAGCAGAGACACGCTGTGACATGTACATCAGCCACTGTGCGCGGCGCGCTGTGGGTGCATTGGATGACTGAGTATTGAACGACTGGGCGTCAGTGGTAGCAGCAGCGGCAGCAGAAGCAGAGGCAGAGTCAGCGGAGGCAGAAGCAGAGGCAACAGTGGCAAGAGTGCGCCTATTCATTGAAGGAATGTCCGATTGCGGCAGCGGCGGCGTCAGCGTTGGTGGTGATTGAATACCGGCCATTCTCGCAGCGCCCATCGAACTGCTGCCATACTCTCTGGTGACATTGGCTATCGTGCGCGAGTACCCAGCGCCATTGGAACTCTCAATGATGATACTCTCCTGAATCGCAGCCAAGCTGGCCTCGCTCTGAGACCTCATTGCCTGCCGCGTGGTCGTCTGCGTAGAAATACTCTGCGAGCTCTGCGAGCTCCTGATTGCCGTGGCTGTCGGTGCCGGTGGCACTGGCAGCTCCTCCCAGCCGACCAATTCGCCAAATTCGTTTTCGCGCTGCACGGCAAATACGTTGTCCTGATAGAAGGTCCACAGGTGCTGGAAGCCGCGCTGCTTAATGCGTAGACGCTGGGCCAGACAGCGGAAGCATGGGCGGTGGATGTAGTAGCCGACCACGTTGCCGCATCCCAGGCAGGCAATGTCCTGCACGTGGCAGTCGCATGGCCCGCTGGGCGCCAGGTCGAACCGCCGCGCATGGTGCGTCAGCGAGCTACACGTGTTGCAGCCCGAGTCGATAAGCATGTCGGCGATTGGCGGCGCCACTGGCTGGCTGACAATGTCGCAGCCCAGCGGCGGCAGATCCGTAGAGAAGCAGCGGATGGCTGGACGCGCCATGACCACGGCCTAAAAAGTTGGTTATAAATGTATGCAAAGTACAAGTTGAGTAGTGGTTATTATAGCTTTTGTAAAGCATGGAGAGTCGTGGTGTTTGATTTCAGCATAAGTTCTGCATGATAGCAATTATTTAGCTGTATTACTAACCTCCATTCCGCGCGAACTCCACATGACGTTGCAATGTTTGCAGTATAGCTTCCAGACGGCCTGGAATGACTCCGTGCGCTGTGTCGATGATGTCGACGATGTCATAGATGAGGTTGATGACGATGCCGATGTTGATGTCGATGTGGACGATGACGAGGACAACGATGACGACGACGACGACGACGTTGAAGTCGACGATGCCGGCGACGTGACAGTCGTCACTTGCACAGAATTGCCGGCCAGAGAATTCATGCTCGCGGGTGTGTTCAGTCTGGCAATGGGCTGGCGCGACTGGTCTGCAGTTGAGCGCATACGATAAATATATTATTAATGTTGAGAAATCGACAATTTTTTAATAAACAGACGAAAATAGAACAAACGAAAATAACGACTGGACCGGAGAAAGGAGGGGAGGTACATGTATGTATGTGATGGGTTTTATTTTTTATATTATAAAGCTTAGGTCGACTATGTTGGCTATGTTGGTTACGGCTAACAAGATTCTAGGCTGGTAGGATTAAGAGCAGCGGCAAAAGAATGAGTATGTGCTAATAAAAGTGAGTTTGTGCGGAGAAATATAGTGCAGCGGGGTAGTCTATTTTTTCTTGGAAATAAATAAGGGTAGCAAAATGGCGCTGACGGGCTGGGGGTTTTTTTATTCCCAGAGAATATGTATAAACTGCGCAATGTAAAATAGCAAACATTACCATTGCCAATAAAGCAAAAGAAAATCATATTCAGCATTATTCTCTCTCTCTGTGTGTGTGTTCGTTGCTACGGCGAACATTCAGGGTAACGCAATAAATGACAGAGAAATAATAGTATTTCCATAGTCAGACTTTACTTTCCAATCCCAGAGCAGTAACCTTTCCTTATATAAATGCCCAAATTATGTTTGTGTAAATATGTATTTGCGGATATAAGTGCGTGTGGGGAGGGGAGGGGAGGGGAGCGGCAAAATGAATGAAGAATGTGAGCTCAGCATTGAAAATGATCTCATTCCCCCTCTTCGCGCCCACTCGCCCGCAGATTTTGTTTGCTGCGTGTGCAATCATGTTTAAATCCGGTGATCCTGGCTCTCGGCGGTGTTGTACCCGCGAGCAATTCCGCTGCGGCCCTCAATGGCCAGCATGGGCGGCAGCTCCTCCCGCTCGTCCGCGTCCTCGTCGTGGCCCAGGCCGCGGAATGACCGAGCCATAAGGTGCTCAGCGGCCGCGCTTCCCAGATACTTGGCAATGTCTGTCTTGTTGTTGCGCAGAATCAAGTCGCCCGCCCCAGCCTCAACGCCCCCCGAGGCTGCCGGGTCGTTGTAGCGGCGCCGATGCTTCAGCGCGCCGGTGACCAGCGAGTAATGCGGCGTGTCGCTGTCCTCGCTGCCGCTCCCCGCACAATCCTCCTGGGGCTCGTCCTCCTGCGCCAGCTCCAAGAAGTCGCCAAAATCGGTCACGTAATCGCCCGTCCACTCCCTCGTCCGCGACATGGCCAGCATCATCTCAAACGGTGTCACAATGGGCTTGTCAAAGTCCTTCCCATCAACCAGTGAGTTCTCAGGACAGGCGACCAGGACAAAGGCCTCGATCTCGGCAAAGTTTGCCAGCTTGACCATGCTCATCTTGCCGACCACAAACACGTACAGCTTCTTGTGCGCGCGCTTCACCATTTGCTTCAGCTGCTGCAGCACGGCAATGTAGCGCGTGGCCGCAACCGTGCCGACAACAATGCCGATGACGTCGGCGTCTTTGGCGCGCTGCACGGCAAAGTAGCGGCGGCTGAGATGCCGGTTGGCAGTGGCGGACTCCTCGCGCAGGCAGTGTGTCTGCGCGTTGTAGCTGAAAACGCACTGTGCGCGCGCAGTCAGCATGAGATTGGTCAGCGTCGCGCCCTCGGAGCCAAGGTACAGGATGGTGTAGTCGCTGAGCGACTTTCCGGCTGCCAGGTCCCATGAGCGCCCGGGCGTAATGCCGGTGGTTTCTAAAGACACGTCGGACGAGCCATCCGCTGAGGTGGCCGCCGGCTGCTCGTATGCGTTGCCGCAGCACGCTGACTTGCCGCTGGCATTGGCACAAGCATTAGCATTGGCACCGCTGCCATCGCTGCAGCGCTTGGCCTGCTTGATCCCTGGCGGCGTGTACAGGCGACCAGCGACGCTGATGGAGCTCAGTGCAACATGGCCAAACTGGCCACTCTCCCGCATCCGGGCAGCAACATCGCCTGCGCACCAAGCAAGCGGCACATCAAACGCAACCAATATATTTCTCCCCTCCAAGGCATCCTCTGTCTTTGCCACGCACCCAGGAACGTCCATCTGCTCTCTGCCAAACACGTACAGCACAGGTACCCGCGACGTCAAACTCAAACAAGTCTTTCCGTAGTGCACAACGAGGTCGGCCGAATAATGCTCGGCCGCCACTTCATCCACGCAGCAGCTGCCAAACGAAGTGTCCGCGAGAATGAATACCCGAGTAGTGGGCGGTATCAGTTTTTGCAGCTCTTGCGAGACTATGGTTGAGTCTATCAGTAGTTCGTCTGGGAATTGAAGCGCCACCTGCGTATACTTTCCCGAGATGATCTGCTCAGCTGTGTGCGCTATTTCGTACACTGCGTGGGCTGAGCTGGCGCTGAGTGGTGGTCGGTCGCCGCCTGCGATGTCGCGGCTGATGGCCGAGCTGCCGTCGTTGTCAAGCGCAGACATTGGTGTGAATTCAAAGTAATGTGATTAGGTTTGTGTATGTGTGGTGCAATTCAGAATAATAAATTAGGGAGAGGCGAGCGAGAAAGGAGGGAAAGAAGGCAGGGGGGATCCGATGATAGTATTCAATGCTTGCCGATCTTGAGCTTGGAAGCAAGCCAAACGACCAAGAAAAAAGCCATCAAGGGCGCCAATTACAATTTGTGATCTAATCGCAGTGGCGGATTAATTTTCTGCTTGCGATTTAAGCTGGGGCCTGAGCGCCTCCCCCCAGGTCATCGATGCACACGCGGGCCAAATGCGGCAAGCAGCGCCGGGCAGCAAAAGCTTAATACAGCCGCGCAGCTCAGCAGCAAACCCAGGCTCATGCACCAGCCACAGTAAGCGCTCAAACCCAGCAACAAACTCCAAAACGGCCAAGCACAAGCTGCTCGTACTCATCTGGTAATCACAAAACCCCATCTGCAAGGTCTCCAATCTTGCGCCGCAGCCCGAGACTGAAGCCGCTAAGAAGGATTCAGGAGCAGTCGATATATAAGGAATGCTGAGCCTGTGCAGGAGTGGCATATGCTGGAGCAGATCCATGACTGCGCTGAGGTAGATTGTGATGTGCAGCTCCAAGCTGCGCAGATCACAGCTCATGCCGGCGAAACCCAAGGGCCAGTGACAGGGCTGCAGCGCGTGGTGCAG